TAGAACTTGGTATTCATCCCAGACAGAATTATGATTGAATGTATTTGCAAGATTAAAGCACTGAATTTACTTTTTTCTAATTAAAGGCAATTAAAGATTTGCAGACACAAATAAAAGACAATGAATTGAGGAATAACTGTAGGAGCAAGTCCATTTGCAGGTGAAAAGAAGTGCCTTTGAAGCAGAACCAGCTGTATTTTCATTGAAAGAATAACAGTTTAGGAAGCTTTTCTGCATGTGCTTGCTTGATAGCATAATGTACTCATAAGCAGCTTACGCAGTACAGTATTCAGAAAATAGCAGTGCATTAATTTTTAAAGTAGCAAATGCAGGAGAAGAGCAATGCTGCCACATGATGATAATGAAGGTGGATATTGTAAAGTCTATTGAAAGAAAAGAAATCAGGGAGCTCCTGAAATGTGAACATTTATAAAACAATAACTAGATATTCATATGATAATAAGCTTGGACAGCAGCATCAACAAAGGCCAAAGATGCAGTCCTGTTTCTGCTTAAGCCTGATGAATTGAAAGGCAGAGAGGCAGTCTTCAGTCTGTTATTCAATTCCAGTAATGAGCTATTGTTATAATGAAAAAGTAAATATCTAGAAGGGCTGGGAATCTATTTCTTTTTGTTTTCCCCTTCATGAAGTTGTTCTAGAGATTTGTTCAGGTTTTGTCTTTATGGCAGCATCTTCAAACACAATCATAAATATAGTCAGTTTTCTTAAATATAGTGCTCAGCATGTTGCATTCCCAGTTACATGCATAACAGAGCTTGGTATGTGTGCAACAGTACAGCATTATGCATGCTACCTGATAATGTCATAGTGTTTCTGCAGACTAAAAACAGTCACCCAGAACTTCATGAACTTTTCTAGCTCATATGTATTATTTAGTTTGATTTTTGCATTACTCATAGTGTCACTGAAGGTTTAAATCAAGAAAAATACTGAATATAGAAGATCAGGTCATCTGTAGTATGTTAGGAAAATTACTAAGTAGAAGATATATAGGATCTCAATTTGCCTTATGAGTAGAGGTAAATAACAAAAATTATTTTCAAATCCATAGATTTTTAATCCTAGCTACATGAGGAGAAACAAGCACATGTTACGTATTATGTGAATCCCTAATACATGCTCTAAGGGAGACACTTTGGCATTTTTTGCAGTATAGCTTTGTTTAATTCTGAAAAAAGTTCCTATATTTCACCTTGTCTTCATCCTTTTCTAATTCCACACCTAGCAGAGTAGTCTTCATTTTTACCTTTGGAAAGTTTTCCAAGCTGGATCTGTAAACAGGGCACAACTCAGTTCAGCTGCTACTGAGGTCACTTTGCCACCAAAGGAGTGGGAAAAAATGTGCAAGAAGGATAGAAGGAAAGGGCGAGATGGAGGCTGAGCTCTGGAGAGCTTCCAAAGGGCAAAGGCAACTTCAAGCGCTGAAACGGAAAGGTGGATGGTCTCTGCATGTGGTCTTGGGAGGAACTGACAGGAGGCAGGAAAAGAAGAGAGATGGTGGCTGTAGTCAGTAGGAAAAGTTGTCTTATAACGGACTAGTTCCTTGGCCTTAAAAATGGAACATGTTGGACTTACAAAAAGTTGTAAGGAAAGAAGTGGCAAATTTCTAAGAAAAAATTTTTTAAAAGGAAATTAGGGTAAGTTATAAAAAAGTGAAGAAAAGCTGACACTGAAGTTTGAAAGGATATTAATTAATAACACTAGTGAGAAGTAGAAGAGGAAAGGATTTTGCTTAAGTCATACAAAAAGTAAGATTTGGTCTGGAAATCCTCCAATTCTTTTTGGTTTCTTCTTGCCTTTGTATGTTCCCTCGGGAAAACTCTGTGTCTTTAATAGACATTGGATAAAGCAGATAAATGGGGCTTTGTCTGATGAGTCCGCCTTAACTGGCTTTGATGATCACTTCCTGGGAAGAAGAAACAGCTTAATCGTGATGACTCTTGACAGATAAATGTACAAGAAAGTTTGCAGGGTAATAGAGATAAAACTAGAAGACATTGGGAGTGTGAATATACATATCCCAACTGGATGAATTTGCAGGCCCGAAAGAACATAGGGGGCCTGTATTACTTAGTTCTGTTTGTTTTCCAGGTGGCAGTGATCAGTATTCACATGGTAGGGGCTTTGCATTTCATAGTTCTTTATAGTTCTGTAGTGCAGATGTCTTTCCCAAGGCTTCAGAAAGTTCAGATGTTTTAAAAGTCTTTCAGTACAACTGCTGAATCTGGTTTTCATTGCAAGAACTCCACAGATGCCCTTTTTAAACTTTTGCACTTGGTGGACTCAGACTGTTTCCCTACCTTTTTTTTTTTTTTTTTTTTTTTTTTTTCATTTTGGCTATTACATTTAGGAAGGAGAGTGGTAAATTAATGGCAGGTGCATAGATTTGGAGGACTACCAGCTCTAGAGTCATTATTGAAATAGCCTATTTGTTATGCAGGGGGGTTAGTTGTTCATATCGGATTTAATATAAATCTGGAAGTATTCTCTAGATAAGTAGAATCCAGTCTTAGCCATAGCCATGATAAACAATAAACAGTAGCATAGTGTCTGAAACCAAGGGAAATAACACCAATAAGCTTTCCATTTTCTAATAATAGATTTGGTTCTGCCAGTAGATGCAGTTCACAAGTTCACACACTGGGTCTCCTGTGCAATGTTTATTCCTGCTTGTATCACCTTCACAGTTGACCCTTGGAGAGAAAGAGGGAGAATAGGCCATTGGAGGAAGGGTAAATGAGTTTCAGTAGCTCACTTGTTTCCCATTCCTAATGATCCTTACAAAGCTTCATTATATAATGCTGTTGCATCACTGGAAGGGAAACCTCTGACTATCCTGCTTTATTTACCCCAGGTGGGAGAGCAGTAAACCTGAATTATGAGAACTGAAATTGAACTTAGTCCTTGTCAGTTATATACTTCTGAGCAAAGGTATTTTTCGTGCTTAAAACATCTCAGGAGGATAAATTTCCATAGTTTGTTCACAAGTAAGTAAGAACAGCTGCATCGCTTTATTGAAAGCTGGCTCCCAACAAATAAACAAAAAAATTCAAGGCTGGGGTATATCTATGCCAAATTTTGGTCTGGAGTGAATTTTCATGAGTTATAAACTCCTGCCATTTATAATGGAAATTCTGACAGCTCTTTAACTATTTCATAGCAAAAATATGACTGCAGTACTTTAGGGAGAAGAAACGTACTCTTTCTGGCTGGCTTCCTCTTACGACTTAGCCATTTTGGTGGTTCCTGTAATTCTTTCCCTAACTGTTCAAAAAACTTACTGTACTCTTGATGCATCCTATTTCCAGATGTCACTGATTTCTGAAGAATAATCCTGTCCTGCAATTGAGATAAATTGACTGGATGAATGTATTGGAGCATGAGACATAAATAGTCATCTTTTCTTCACTTCATCCTCTAAAAAGGTTCCTTGTATATATACTTCCCTCCACCAGTAGATACAGTTTCGGTTATTTTTCTAAGTTGTTTCAGGTCTGTCATGAATAATACCTGACCAAAGGATAGTATGGAGATGTTCACAATATATAATCCCTAGGGTTGAGGAGAAATTATGCGATGAAGGCAATTTGTAATGTGAGTTTAGCATCCACAGTATGCTACAGAGTTGCTCTGTATTGAATATGAGCAGTGATAGAGAAAGCAGAGGTGCATTTTCATGAGTCCAGTGTATCACTCGAGAAGACTTTATTTTGCAACTCATGTCTTAGAATTTCACCACTGCAAAATATTCCAGTTTTGAAGGTGATCATAAAATAGAAGATTGCACTAGTGATTATGAATGCCAGATCACATCTGGTTGAGCAAATGGGAGTATTGCATACAGAAAACTACTGGGCACAGTTTTAGAGGAAAGGTTGAATTACTTGAATGTAACAATAATGAAAGCTAATGTACAACTAGATAAAATTAGTGGTTTAAAAACAGCCAGACACTCCTGCTTACATCATTGTAGCTTGGCTTTGGAAATAGGCAAAAAGGACATAAGGGCATGTATATATTTAGGGGAGCAGGGGGAATGGAAAGGACATCTTTGAACAGCCAGAGCAGTTACACTGAAGCTCTACCTCTCTGAGTTTTTTCCCTGCTTATTCTTTTCTTTCTCCTCCTTTTGTGACTGTATCTGAACCTTGACTCATTTTAACTTAAATAGTACATAATACAGAAATAACAGCCCCTTCAGAAAGCAAAAATATCCCTGAGAGATATCAAGCATTTTATTCTATGTTATTGAGATAAATGATTTTGCCATTTCTGAGTACTTCTGTGTCCTTTTCTGAACTCAGTTCATATAGATGCACAGTAATCAAGCATTTGGCTGTACTCTTTGTGCCTGCAAGAGATAGTCCCCATAACTTTTTAAAAGTTCATCTGAGACAGAAGATTCTGTGTAACACGTTTCTACAAGCACGTGGTGTGAAGCAGTGGTTTTATAAGCGCTTACTTGGACTGACACGCATGTTTCTGAGTTCTGATACTTGCAAATAATGTTCTGGTTCGTAATGATGAAACATTTGCACTCACCATAATGTCCTGTATTATACATTTATATATTCATTAGGGATGAATAACCAACAAAAATTATAATGAAAATTTTGTTTTGATTGAAATGAGAGGGAAAACCATCATCCATCTTTAATCTACTTATTTGCTGTCTGATGCTTACTGAACAATTTAATAAACATTATACTAGTGGATGGCTAACCATTCGTGTGTTTTTATATTCCTCTGGAGTACTAGGTTCCACACTGGTTTGTTAGCTCTTGCTTGTTGCTGTCGTTCTCTGTGCTACCTTTTCTCCACAGACGAAGCACCAGTCTCACAGAGTAGCTCCTCTTTAAAGTGCTGGACTGGGGGATGTTTTCAAACTGTTAGATCTGACTTTTCAACTGAAATAATTGCTGACATTCTTTATATTATTTTTTGTGTCATTTTCCTTAAATGTGCTTTTCTACTCTAGGAAAACAAGATTATAAGAAAACCAGGCCTATGTTAAGAGCTACAAGATTAAAAGCAGAGGCCAAGAAAACTGCACTAGGCGTAAAGGTAGAGATCTATTTGATGGCTTATACCACCTTTGTGTATATGTTGTTTCTTTTCCCCATAGAGGTACTGTGTGAATATTGATTTTTGAGAGATATTGTTTATGACACTTCAGAATCTAAGTGGAATGCCAGAATCTAAAATATTTATGATGGATTGCTTTTACTTAACCCTAAAATAACTAGAACAGTTGAAATGCTAAAAGATTTTAAGTGGTCCATGTCCTTGTTATGATGCATACTTACTTTAGGGTCAATAAAGTACTGTATGCATGGAAAATTGATCTTTTCAAGGAGCCTCTCTACACTCAGAACAAATGCTTTAATGATTTCATATAGTTATAAAAGTTGCAATACGCATCTTCCTTCTTCCTCTTCTTATCCTATACCCTGGAGTAATTTGAAGACTTGTTAAGTGTTATAAATTCTTTGCATTATTATCTCAGTCTACATCCTTTTTTACTGCTTCTAACTTGGAAAAAGGTGGTTAACTAACAGCAAAACACATGGAAAGGTACTGAAATTTATTTTGAAAAAGCCCCTTTTTCAGGCAGGTATGCAGTATAATAATGACTATTTGATCATGGCTGTGGGAAGACAATTAGGAATATATTATGCTGTCTACCACCCAATGTGTCATCAAAACAGGATTTATCTGAATGCATATTTTTTATTTAAGTTGCAGCCACTATTTTTCCCTCAAACTTGTTTTTTAATCAGGTTAATATGCAAATAGCTTAGCAGCAAGGGTAAAAACTGAGCAAAATAAAAAAAAAAGGATCAAATACCTGGATATTCTAGTGGAAGAAACTTCAGAAATGTTAAAAGGAGAACATTTTCTTGTTTCTGGCAGATGAGAAATCAATTTTTTCAAGTTATAGCTTATAGCAAATGCCAAGGTATTACTACCAAGCTGTAACAGCTGTTGAGCTGCCAGATGATGTATTTGGTTGTCTTCCAGAATTTGCTATTATAATCACGAAACAGTGCTTTCTTCTTGCTCCTGATTGCTGATCTCGATCAAGCATTACCATGCAATGCAGTATGTTTTCACAACATAAGCTCCTCAGTTAGTGCTGTGTGTCAGGTTTTAATGAGAAAAAGTAGATTGCCTTTTTTGTTTAAGGGATAGATTATTAACCTTTTGAGTTCAGTGTTTTTCCCTTCCTTTCTTATTAGATCTTGTTTTTTTTCTTTCCATTTTACTTTCAGTGACATGACCTTTTAAAAGTGATGTTCTACTTGGAGTACTGTTTTACTGTACAGTCCAGTTCTAAAACATGCAAGGTTTTTGCATGTCTTTCACAAATGAGAAAAATATGAATCTTGGTTCTTTAAAACCTGTTTTGATTCCTTATTTTCTTCAGTTATTCTTATTTTAAAATAGGGTGAATAGGAAAGCATATGTTTAATCCTGTGTATAATGAAGAATGAAGTATTACTGAGAAAATAAATTGAGAACAGTGTATTTTGTGCAAATATTTTCCTGCATGTTTTAGCAGAACACCAGCTGAAATCTACGTAAGAATGAGATTTGCCATCAAAGCACACCTATGTTCTCCATGTCACGGGATGTTGTGTTTTGGGGGTTCTGATAATAGCAGTGCACAGTGTCTCAGGTTTGCAGTTCTGCTTCTGCCTTTAAAAAAATCCCAAAGTCTTTAAAATACTGTCTTTGGGCTGTAGTATTTTTTGCACACCTGGACCTTAAAATATGACTCTGGATCATACCCAAACAGATCACAGTCATTTGCTTTGCTTCCTAATTGCTGAGAAAAGCTGACAGAAGCAAAAGGGAAGGTAGGTTGGGCACCTTTCCCTTGGGATATGCTTGTGGGGGGAAGGAAAGCAGGGCCTTTGTGTGCATCCTTCTCACTGAACCTGCTTAATGCCAACAACCTCAGGCTTACTAAATGTTACAATGCTTCTACCAGAATATGGTCAATCCCTGTAGAATAAAACTGGGCTTCTACTGGCAGACTGTGCAGCGCTCAGCACAGAAGTGAGGCATATTTAATGTCTCAGAGTAAACTTGCACCTCTCGTCTTGCAGTGACAACTTTTCACCCTGCTCTATTCCCCCAGTTCAGCAGAGCTTTGCAATGTGGGCAGTGGATGCGCCTGGAGTGCCTGCAGGGAAATCGCCGTTCTGACCCAAGGAGAGGCTGTTTAGTTGTGAAGCCCTGTAACTTCCCCCCCTCTCTCAGGCAGGGCTTGTTTTGCTCAGGCCACTGTAAGTTCTCGCAGCTGTTCAAAAGCAATCTTCTTGCACTCATTCTCCACACCTATCCCAGATACTTCTGTTGTCTCCTGGATGAATTTTGAAATTAGAATTGCTTGAAGTCTTGTGATTAGTGTGACAGCAGAGTGTTAAATCACTCCCTGTCCCTTCAGGTTCTGTACATTCACTAAATTGTTTTAGGCTTGAGTGTGCATTCCTTTAATTGTTTCCTAATATTCAGGACTTTTGAGTGTGCCTGAGCTCTTCCTCTGGGAAAGTGTCATCACAGTTGTCACCTCGTATTAACAAAGTTTTCTCATAGTGATAAACAATATGATTCGCCTTCCAAAAGCTGGAATTTTAGTCTTTTTTATGTGGTGTAGGCTCTGCTTCTGTGCAGTGAGAGTTGATTAACTTCGATCTGTGTTGAAGAAAAAAAATAGTATAACCACAGTGTAATGCAGTAAGTAGGCAGCACTTCAGATAGAATGTCCAAAGTTCTTACCAATCCACGTTTATTTACCATACATTTTATTTGTTTATCCAGGTTTCAGTACATAATGCAGTGTGCAGCATTTCAAAATATATAAACATTTTCTTATAAAAAGCTAAGTTGCAGTTAGTAAAAGTATTGTGGAGGAAGGATGTTCTTCTCATACATGTAAAAGTACAAGTTACTTGGACAAGAGGAATATTTTTGTAATTCTGTGAAATACCTAAAACAGTAAGTGTCATACCAACACTTGAAACTATAGGATTTTTAGTGCACATTATTACTTCTAGAGTTGTTTTGCACTAGTGTCCTGAAGAGCTTATATTCCTGGCTGTAAACTAAGACTTGGTGTAGTATTTAGGGAAAGGAAAAAAAAAAAAAAAAGAGGACTGGAAAATAATGGAGGTATTTTAGTCTTTAATTTCTACAAACATAATGAAATTCAGATGTTGTGTATTTCACCATGAAAGCTGACAACATTTGCTTAAAAAAAAAAAGCCCTGTAAATGACATAAAACTTTTCAGAACCAATCCCCTGGAGATCCTTCACATTTCATTGCTGGCATACTAATTAGCTTGTCTTGTCAAACTTTGATTGCCTTGTCATTTTAATGCAAGGCTTAAAGTAACAAAGTTTCTTTGAGTCACTGGCATTTAGTACTTTTAATTTCCCCAATGAGAGGTTTTATCCATGTTGATAATGTCAGAGAAGCAGCTGAGCACTAATAACTATCAAAAGTTAGTTCAGGCAGGGTGACCATGCTAGTATTTTTGTGCAATATTTGCTCTTTAAACATGGTTAAAGATTAAATATTGTAGCAGAGCTATTGTGGTGGCTCTGCTTGTACATGTGACACTAATGCAGACAGTGCCAAAATATATGGTATCTACTGGGAGAGCAGGACCCCTGTCTTGAGAAACAACTTGTAGAGAAAGCAGTGTGCTGTATGTCTCCTGGTGTTTGGGTACGACAGAATTCTTTGTAGCAGTATCACACAGTATCACACAGTATGTTAGAGATTGGAAGGGACCTCGAAAGGTCATCTAGTCCAATCCCCCTGCCGGAGCAGGAGCAACTAGATAAAGTTACACAGGAACGTGTCCAGGCGGGTTTTGAATGTCTCCAGAGAAGGAGACTCCACAACCTCCCTGGGCAGCCTGTTCCAGTGTTCTGTCACCCTCACTGAGAAGAAGTTTCTTCTCAAGTTTAAGTGGAACCTCTTGTGTTCCAGTTTGTACCCATTGCCCCTTATCCTATCATTGTTTGCCACTGAGAAGAGCCTGGCTCCATCCTCGTGACACTCCCCCTTTATATATTTATATACACTAATAAGGTCACCCCTCAATCTCCTCTTCTCCAAACTATAGAGACCCAGCTCCCTCAGTCTTTTCTCATAAGGGAGATGCTCTTAATCATCTTAATTGCCCTGCGCTGGACGCTCTCCAGCAGGTCCCTGTCCTTCTTAAACTGAGGGGCCCAGAACTGGACACAATATTCCAGATGAGGTCTCACCAGGGCAGAGTAGAGGGGAAGGAGGACCTCTCTCGACCTACTAACCACCCCCCTTCTAATACACCCCAGGATGCCATTGGCCTTCTTGGCCACAAGGGCACATTGCTGGCTCATGGTCATCCTCCTATCCACCAGGACCCACAGGTCCCTTTCCCCTTCACTACTTTCCAGCAGGTCATTCCCCAACCTATACTGGTACCTGAGGTTGTTCTTCCCCAGATGCAAGACTCTACACTTGCCCTTGTTGAATTTCATCAAGTTACTCCCTGCCCAACTTTCCAGCCTGTCCAGGTCCCTCTGGATGGCAGCACAGCCTTCTGGCGTGTCGGCCACTCCTCCCAGCTTAGTGTCATCAGCAAACTTGCTGATAGTACACTCAATTCCCTCATCTAAGTCATTGATGAATATATTAAATAATACTGGTCCCAGTACCGATCCTTGAGGCACTCCACTAGATACAGGCCCCCAGCTAGACTCCGCCCCATAGACTACAACTCTCTAGCTTCTCTCCTTCAGCCAGTTCATAGTCCACCTCACTACCCGATCATCCAGACCACACTTCCTCAATTTAGCTACGAGGATGCTGGGGAGACTGTGTCAAAACGCTTTGCTGAAGTCAAGGTAGACCAGTACCAGAAAGGGAGCCTCTGAATCCTCTCTGTGTGGTGGTTTTGTTATCCCTCACAGGGAGCTTGTGCAGGTGGAAGCCCACCTGCTCATCCTTGCCAGCTCAAGCAGCAAGCAGTCTGCACCATCAGTGCTAACTTGGCTCTCAGAG